CTTCGTCATACGTACGTATCCTCGCTCAACTATAAATAGCCCGCGCGTTATCGCAGAGTTCACACGACTCGCACAAGAGCATGCAGGATGTGCACTGTTCAGTACACTGTAACTCTGTACAGAGCTCCTTTGTACCATCATCACAGCAGAGGCTGCTCATGGCTGCCTCCTCGATGCTTGCCTCATTTCCTGTCCCAGTAACACAGTTTTCTTTTAAATATTTTGCTTCGCATTTTTTTCCTGGTAATATAGTATCTGTGCTTGTATCGTGCAGATATATACAAATTAGCTATCGACTCTGTCGTCTTTCGACTTATGATTGCATTTCAATAGCAATATAAAACCACTAAATATAATTAAACATCACACTGCATATGCACTATGTGCTTTATTATAATATATTTAATTACATATATATTAATACAGTAGTTATATACAGTATATCAATACATTTTTAATATTAATGCAGAGTTTGATATATCTACCAACTGCCACTGTCGGATTCCTTGTCAATCACGAATATGGCGTGGGCACCTGAATTGGTAAATCAATCATTTATCAGTGAATGATTTGCACATCAATAATTAACAATTTTCTTTAGAGGTTGTGGTCTCTTGCTGGCCTTTAATATTGCTGCAATTTTCTACCGACTGCTTGGTTATTTTATTCTCATCGATTCGTGTTACATTGAATTATTCATTAATTTAAAACATAAAAGCAATTTGACAATTTCTATATAAGAAGTGCGGAAAATTTTCTAATTCACTCTGCCCAAGATAAAGCTGGCTCGTTTTACGCAAAAAAGTTTTTCATAACACCTATAAAATTATTTTAATACGTACGAGTGCGGTTTATGCGAGAGTTTCGTTATGATTGATGATTCACAAGTCATTTTATGGTACCAGTAATATAAAATTTATTCTCGGCAAGAACTCTTAATCAGGTAAGAGTTTTTATTGTAGGTTATAGGTCATGATCTTTAAGTTTACCATCATTGCACCATAACAGAGCATTTATGCAAAAGATAAAATTTCTTTCTACTACACCAGCCCTGGAAATATTTCCTATGAATAAATTTCCTCGGCTAAGAGTCGCTCATAACGAGCTAGGCTTTGTCGAACCCGTCACGTTTAATGCAGTAACAGCTCTCGTGAAAAAAAATCATAATTTAACCTTATAGCATTACTCTAAGCAACGCTCAGATACGATGTTCAACAATTATTTGTTGTTGTATACATTAGAATTTTGAATTTTAAACTAATTAAAACATTAAACTAACTAATTTGTTTGGTGTCGATTAAGCGCATAAAACTGGCTAATTTATGTTACTTTTTTACTAATTAATGTAAACAACTGAGAGGTCCCCTCGGCAGTTTTGCTTCAAGAAATATTCAAGACGTTGCAGCTCCTCTCGACTCTTGAAGAAGAATGCGGGAATGCCGACTTTTCAGGTAGGCCTATCTAAAGAAATCCTTGAGTAAATAATTTAGGAGCAGAGGGGACACAGCAGCAGCATTGTAACAAGTCTGCTCATTACGAGCAGAATTTCACACTTCGTTGAGCGGGTTTGTAAGCTAAGACGGCTGCTTCAGAGGTGTCAACAGATCTAGAGGCTCTTCATTTGCCGCGATAAGGAACGCCTCGAATAGTTATTTTAATAATAATTAAAGCCCATTCATAATTTCCTCAACTCGTTTAAGCCATCGTTACGTTAAAACTTTAACTCGTAGATGTACTCACATTCTACTTTCGCAACGATAACTGAAGAACAAAAATATCAATAAGGCGGCCGAAAATTCCAAGAGGCGGAGAAGTACGTCATTTGTGAGAGGTCTGCAAAGTGTCTCCTCATTAAAAAATAAAGAGTGGTGCATCATTTGAAAATTTTCTCTCTCCGTAGTTATCACAAAATGTTATTCAATATCCGACACTTTCAGATTTAACTATATAATTGATTAGTGTTTGATTAGATGATGCAGAACTACGTAGGATTTCTTAAATTAAATTAACAATGTAACTCATTAATATCCGATTAGGGGCTGCAGAATTACGTAGGAATTATTAAATTAAAAATATTATTGTTATTCAAGATCCTGATGTAACTTTTCAGTCGTGGTACAAGCACCATTTTTACAATTGCATTCACGTTATGTTAGTACAATTTAATCCACCAGGCCTGTTTCACTTTCACTTCACTTAATTTTCAATTTGATAATAAACTTGAATATACGAGACCAGAAGTCTCGTACACGTTTATACGGATATCAGGTATGTTGGTCTTACCTGTAATGTTGTCACCTAACCATCAAATTGATTCAGTTTGCCGTAAAGCACCTAAAGTTCGGGCGAAAATGTGGCAAAAATCGAGCAGTTTCTTCTCCCCGAGCCCACAGAACGACACTCGCACTGCGTACGGAAGGCTCGTTTAGATGCTAATGTCGGCTGGAATGCAACCAAATTGCCTTCTTAATTTTTCTTTGGGATAATTCAAATAGGGAATGAATGCAAAAATTTTAGCAGTACCTTCACAGTACGCGTCTTTACATCGCTGTTGTGATAATGTCTTGTACATACAATTGTCGCTACATTTTTTAGTTCATTGTAGATGAAGCCTTATTTCAGCCTTATTGAGGATGAAGACTTATTGCAATCATTACTGTGTACTAAAATCCATCCCAATTCAAGTCCACAATTTGCTTTAAATCGCAAGCTCATGAATCACATTTGCCAAGCTACAAGCATCGACGCAACTCACTGTATAGGTTCAGGCTGTTGAGGGACCAAGCCAAAGTTAAGCCTCAGCTCAAGTTCCATACTTTCAAAAAAGTTAGGAGATCGTAAGTTCATCAGCCAATCATTGACGGCCTTTCAAGCAAAATCCACCAATCATAGACAAGAAAATAGAGCGTAAGTACTTACGTTCACTATACTTTCAAAAAAGTTAGGAGATCGTAAGTTCATCAGCCAATCATTGACGGCCTTTCAAGCAAAATCCACCAATCATAGACGAGAAAATAGAGCGTAAGTACTTACGTTCACGTAGCGAGTTTTGAAAGTATGGCCCAGGTATACTGACGACCAATACACACGTACACTGAAGCTCCCACGCTCGTGATTGAAGCGGTGATATATGCTAAAATCCGAGAAGATATCAGAAAATGTTTCTCACTCATGCAAGTTGCAATACGAATGTTTTATTCTCCTGCTAATCGGTTTTTAGAGAAATGTACTTTATTGGTATTAATCATCCGTCTAGATTTGATCTTAAAATTTCATTTAATTAAAATTATGGTATTTCTGCTGCGATCGTTTCCTCTAGACTAGCGGTACAAGAGACGCCGGCTGCGGGTGGCCGAAATTAAAGCAAGTTCGATGGCGGTGTTTGCTTTGGTTTGTGTGCCGTGCCGCTCAAATGATGTTAGTTTAGCACTATTTTGCTATAACGGCTCACGGTGCACTATTTAGCTATAACAGTATAACGGCTCACGGTGCAATATTTAGCTATAGCGGCTCACTACTAGCACTATTTTGCTATACCGGCTCTCTATTAGCGCTATTTTCCTATACCGGCTCACTATTAACGCTATTTTACTATACCGGCTCACTATTAGCGCTATTTTACTATACCGGCTCACTACTAGCACTATTTTACTATACCGGCTCACTATTAACGCTATTTTACTATACCGGCTCACTATTAGCGCTATTTAGCTATAGCGGCTCACTACTGGCATTATTTTGCTATAGCGGTTCACTATTAGCACTATTTTGCTATACCGGCTCACTATTAGCGATGTTTTGCTATAGCGGCTCTCTATATTAGCACTATTTTGCTATACCGGCTCTATATTAGCGCTATTTTGCTATACCGGCTTACTATTAGCGCGATTTTGCTATAACGGCTCACTATTAGCGCTATTTTGCATACCGGCTAATTATTAGCGCTATTTTGCTATAGGTACCGGCTCACTATTAGCACTATTTTGCTATACCGGTTCTCTATTAGCGCTATTTTGCTATACCGGCTCACTATTAGCGCTATTTTGCTATACCGGCTCACTATTAGCGCTATTTAGCTATACCGGCTCACTATTAGCGCTATTTTGCCATACCGACTCTCTATTAGCGCTATTTTGCTATACCGACTCTCTATTAGCGCTATTTTGATATACCGGCTCTCTATTGGCGCTATTTAGCTATACCGGCTCACTTATTAGCGCTATTTTGTTATACCGACTCTCTATTAGCGCTATTTTGCTATAACGGCTCTCTATTAACGCTATTTTGCTATACCGGCTTTCTATTGGCGCTATTTAGCTATACCGGCTCTCTATTAGCGCTATTTTGCTATAACGGCTCTCTATTAGCGCTATTTTGCTATAACGGCTCTCTATTAACACTATTTTGCTATACCGGCTCACTATTAGCGCTATTTAGCTTTAGCGGCTCACGGTGCAGGACGATCGACCAGCAAGCCGCACGTCTTTTCATATAGAAAATCTAATTCATTTACTTAACGCGAGCAAAAATTTTTTATATGTGGATAATTTTTAATAAAATTTGAACTATTATTTTGTGTAGATTGTACTAATGGTTTCCAGAATCAACAATCAGAAAGCATAACTATGGAATGAATATTTATTACGAAAAAATTACCTGGTCATTTTTCAAGCATACTTAGATTGAAATAGTTATTTTAACTTAATATAGTTGGTAAATGCAATGATAATTTTTTTGTTTCCATCAATGGATCCAACGTACGGCTGTAACATACAGTGCTAACTTTGAACATTTTAGCAAAGAAAATTCCCATTTACATTCAAACTCCAAATGGTAGTTTTGATTGATTTAGCGAGTATTATTCCATGGTTATAATTTTTCTCGTTGATATTTCGGCTCTTTGCAATATTCCAGTTTCGGAACAATGTCCCAGGGTTTCCGGAATCCGGGTAAGCAGCAGGCAGCTACGCTCAGAGCCTCAGACTCAGTGTGCGTGCAGACGCTGATGTGAGTGGTGGTTTAAGCTCTACGCTCTCGAAGTTTCTCACTCGTCCAACTCCAACTAGCAGAACTGTTAACAATCAAGTATTTCCAGACATAACGAAAATCACTCTTCACATTAAACGATTTTTATTCGTTCATATTGTCAACGGTTATCAAGTTAACTATTTTTTGGGGGATTTTTGAAATCTGATTCCTTGAGAAACCGACTTGACTGAGAAGGCATTTTCAGCTGGCACCTTTTGAAACGAAGTGTAAAATTCTGGCCGCTTATTCACATAAATCAACATATCTGTCAACCACGACTATTTTTTAATTTCATAAATTTTCATAATTTCTGCTCCGTTAACACCATTGAAAAAAAAATCCTTAGTTCCCAACAATATATAAATTTACTGGACATATTACGCGAATCTGGAACTATCGGCACGTTTTCGGTTTTATTATAAATTATATTCAAGTTTTGACTATTGAGAACCCAGTCATAGCAATTGTTTAGTGGTATAATAAATAGTTTAGTGCTGAACCTTCTCTCTGTGACGTGAACACCGCCCTAAGCCCTGGATTACCTCGCCAGCGAACCAGCCTCATCTTCTTCTCTTTGTTAAAGGTTCGTGTGAGTTCAAAATTAAACTAATTAGGTTATAATTATACTCGTAAAACAATTAAGGGTAATTTTCATTTTACTACAGACGGACTTAGCTTAGTTTAAACTTTGTGCTATGCAGCAAAAAAGCTCTTTACTTCACTTCTTATTTCTCTTTAATATTCTCAGTGAATTATAGTTAGTTAATAAACGGACCAAAGGATTTCAAATGATTAAAGGGCTTACAAAATAACCCGCTGAACTTCTTTAAAATGCTCCCTGCAGTTCTTTTCCTTTTAAAATTCTAGTTCAGCCGCTTCCATTTGCCACTAATTTCAGTCGCCGTGCGACTAAAGTGGATGATAATTTAGCTTATTTTGAGTTAAACGTATGACTTAGAAAAGAGTATTTAATTGTTCTAATTTTAACCCGACTATACTTTTCCCACTAAATATCGCTTCTTTCTGCCCGTCTTTATTAAGCAGCAACTGACAGAAATTCCCACATTGACAGAAACTTCGTTAGACGACGTAAGCGAAATCGTCAAAAAATTAGCCAAATTCTTGATTAATTATTTTGTAAGTAATTGTAACCAAGTGCCAATTCATTTAGATTTATTTAAAAAAATTAAATTAGTAAAAATGTATTTCCTTTTAAAAATTTAGATGAGAAAGTTAATAATACTATACAGAAAATGTACTATCAGCTTGCTTTTTAAAAACAAAAAGGAACTCCAGCTTCTTAATCTTTGGTCAACGATTCAAATGCCCAGTGGATATTGCAGATTCGTTGACAAGCTACTGAAACTAAAGAATTTTCTGCGCGCTGTAAGAAATGTATGGGCTCTGACCTTCTGTCATAGTTTTCAAGATTATTTTCGTTTAATTTTATTTTTTGTGTTATGACCCGTGATTTTTCTCCAGTTTTTGGTATAATCTGCAACAATTGAGTAATTTTTACGGTACCAACTCATGTACCTGCCATGTAACTGGTAACATCAGTTGGCAAAACGTTCTTCAAAGTTGTTCAATTAAAATGCTTCAACGATGCGTAAGAGTTTTTCCTGTGAATAAGTTATCCATTCATTACTGCAGAAATGATTCGTAGTGAGATGTACCTTCAAAATATCATAGTTAACAGCTCTGTTATTTTGATATAAAAATTCAGATTTGGACTGTTAGAAACTTGCTTTCATGTTGGTGTTCGAAATTCAGAAAAGTATTCAATAAAATCCTTCGCTAATTTTATGAAATTCTAGTGTAATTCTTTAAAAATCTTAGGGTAATTCAGTGTAAGGTTATTATTAGTGTGTAAAACTTGGCAAACGATGAAGACTTACATTTATATATTGTTAAATCCATGTATTCTCAAGATTATATGAATTCCTGGAGGTCGCTGTTCTAGGTTTAGTTAATAGTTTACTAATTCGTGCTTTTGGAGCAATAAAGCTTGTCACGGGAGCTCGTATTTTGTGCTCCACTCAACCACAAAACGTTCCGTCTTTCCTGTGGCACAAAAATGCCCGGGAAGAAACCTACCGCAAGCTCGGGCCCTTCTTTGTTAAACAGAAATGCTGAATCTGCAAAACTCGGAATTAAAACGGCCTTACTACGCTTCTGATATTGACGCTGAACGTTAGAGTAAATAAATAACGTCACTCTTTCTGAATTATTTTTTTTCGGGCTACTCTATAATGTAAGTTTGGAAGTTTGTTTACAATTTCTTAGCCGTCATGCAGTTACCCTGACACACGTGTCGCTCAATTGCAACGGTATGCCATTTATTATGCGTTCTAAAGTGTGTATTTTACAACAGTCGTCGTATTAACCCTCTACCGCCTGACACGATCGAGTAACCAGAGCAATATTGTCGCAGGCCTACTTCTCAAAAAGGATACGTTCTAGTAAGAGCAAACTGATGGTTGCCGCCACATACAACTTTAAAATGTTCTCTGTTGCATACAAACGTCCAAAGGTTGCTACAGTCAATAATTTACGTATAATTTAATTTGAAAGTTATGTTCCCGGAGAGTGACATACGGCGGTAGAGGGTTAACAGCCATCCAGTACCAATAATATCTAGCATTTGCGTTTGAACAAAAGATATTTTTCATGGTTGTGCACATTTAATGCTCGAGTATCGCTAAATTTTACAATTAAACAAATTCATTCAGAAACTGGAAAATGGTTTTTGTAGCAGAACAGTATAACTAGTTTATAACTATGCTTATTTGTCTGTCTGGATGAATAAATAAAATTATTATACTCCTGTGACTGAATTGTATCATTGAAAAATGGTTGCTGGGAATCCATATATTCTCGCTGACTGTCAGCGGTGAAATGGACGTCGCACTTTTGCAACCACTTTGATGGCTTGTAATGCACGAACTTGCTGAAATAATAGCCGGTTCAATTTACACAGCCTGCATTTAGTTCATCAACTCGGACCGTGAAACGAAGGCTTGGCATACGTTGGTGCATTTGAATCTATACCCAAGTCGTCAAAGCACGCACTGGCCTGTGATAAAGAGTCGATTTAATCCTGTAGACTTCACGGTAATTTGCGAGTGTCACGGAACCCAGCACGAGTCCAATGCAGCCTTTACCGTGCAGATCAATAATAAATATCGACCTGTGGTGAAGAACTTCTCCCTCCCTCGTCTATGTGGCGTCACTTTTTCCCGCGGGGAGAGTTATGGCCGGAGTGCTAATTATCGCAGCGATTTGGCGTGTCCGTAACGTGCTGCTGCTGCCTCCTTTTCTCACGCTGCAATTATTTTAATTAATATTTCACCAAAGAGAGTTTTCTTTAGGTAATGTTGAGTAACATGGGCTTTAGATGAAGATCATCAGGGGATTATAATTTTAGGAATAACTATATATTACTTTTTTAAGAAATGTTTCAAATTTTCAGGATTTCGTTTTTTTTTTGCATGAATCTTAAAGAAAAAAGTAGTTCATAATGCAATTACGTTCTTCCCTCATTTGTTGCACGTAGCCTGCTTCTAACCAGTCAAGTTCAAATTGTTAATAAAATAATTCTACGAAAAGCGTCACTTACACACAGATCCATAACTGTTGGTCGTTTAGCTACAACGAATTGACTTCTAATTTATTAAATTTTTTCCTGTTAATGATGTTGTTTCCGCAATTAGTATAATTCCTCACATGACTTCTTTCCTTATATTCAAAATTTCCTCAACAAATTTTAAATGATAGGAAATTTAATTCCTATAAGCTTAGAAAAGCGTCCTCGAAATTTTGTCCTTTCCTCTAAAATTATTTTTTATTCGTTATCTTCTCACGGACACTCACGAATTTCCATTATCCGGAATTTAGCCCGCAGACAGCAACGGGCCGAGAAAAAATCTATGCGAGTTTAACGAACGAACACAAAATTTAATCAAGCTTAAAGTTCAACTTGCTCCTGCTTACTTAGTGGATCCTCTTGCCTGAACGCACTGGAGTCTTGAATGGAAGTAGTCGTGAGTGAAAACACTATTTTCATCAACAAGTCTCGCCTGGACTAAACACACAGTTTAACACCTATTATTCGCTAACTCTGTTACCCTAAGGTTTGTTAGAAAATACAAGCTACGAAACAAAGGGAAACTCAGTTCAAGACGGTCACGTTCTAGTAATATATTCCGTGGCTCGAAGGCCAGCGTTCATTCGCAGCGTTCCCTGTACAGCTTGCATGCGCTCGTTATTTGTGCTCCCTTATGCACGGCGCTGGATTTTAGGCAGCTTCTCGCGCCAACACGTTTCCTCACTCAGGTTTAATTTTAGTCGTCTAAGTATGCAAATTCACCTTAACCTCGACGTAATAGCTTGAGTCTTGTGCGGACCCCGGCAGCGTTGCTATGCAGAAGGCGCCATGCATGCAGCTCCTTTACTTCAAAGCACGGGAATTCAGCTGAGCGTTCATGAGCAACTCTCTTCTTGGGGTGCTATACTCCCCGTCGTCCACCTGCTTATTGTTGTTGCTTTGATTTTAACAAAGTTCACTCTAGACGCCGGAAGGTAATCCGGTGGTGAATTGATTCAATTAACTAGATATGGAGATATTTTTATGATTGAATCCTAGTAAATTTTGTAAAAAGAGATCTACCTCTCAATTTTTTCATGTAGCCGGGGATTCTACTATAATTTCCATATTTTATGATTCTGTGATGTTGGCCTCGCTCTTTCGAACCGGATTCATATTATAGATTTTGTTCCCGATGTTGGTATCTTACGAATGTTGTCACCACTAGATGATTAATATACAATTCTGTCAGAAATGTAACATTTTTCTATGTGCTAGTGGTGCTAGTCTGCGATTAGACATAAGCAGTCCAATAATTATACATTCATTGTCTATAATTGTATACGCCAAACACCTAGCAATGATCTAGTCTATTCACAGTGTAATGAATATATTTACGGTTTAAATCTTGTGAACATTTAATTAAAATTGTCTATTCGTAATCAATTTTCCTGGTTAGATAACAAGTCGTTGAAATATTCAACAAATAGAATATTCATGTCATTGGCTTTTAATTATTTCACCAAACTCAAACTGAAGCAGGTGAACTCCTTAATTTTGCTAATTAAAATTTGACATGGCAGCTCCGGTATCATGGATCGCATTTCAAGAACGTGTCCCTCCATTTTTAGGGCCTGTCTCGCCAGTGGCTTTCCCCTCACGAATTCCATCGCGAGTCTTGTTTTGGTTTCCCCGTTATATCTTTGATGGCTGCCAGTAATTCAATACCCCTGCTCGCTGTGTTATTCCAAGGAACTGTCGTGTTTACACTGCAGTGCAGTATTCACTGGGGCAAACTTCAAGACGTTGTGCGTCCAACGTCCTCAGAGGCAGATTGGAGCGCCTCATATAACTTTCAGGCTTTCAATACTAGAATATCTAATGTGCACGAAATGTAAATATTGCTGTTGTGCATATGTGCTGCTGCTAACTCCTGTGTATAGGGATGAAACCATTTAATATTCATTCAAATTCATATTGTATGGATATTAGTTTAC